ATGTGCCCAAAGACTCAGTAACTTCTGGCTTCAAAGCCCCGTGGCTTGTAAACAAGGGCTAGGAAAAGCAGCCTGGCATGTTGGGGCAGATCGAGATCAAAGGACGGGGAATGCTGCGTTGTTTGTTTGTTTTGTTTACTGGGGGGCTTTGAAGGAAGGTCTTAAAATCCACTTGGGAGCGGGCTTGCTCTTTGTCAGCCGCTTTCTCCTTCAGGGTGCTAAAGGAACGCGCCGTGAGCACGCTCTTTACAGGGCAAGGGGGAATGTAGCATTTGCCCACTGGAGAGAGCATGGTGAATGTTTTGCTGATGACTGTACCCGTAATGGATCAGGCTGTAGCCACCCACGGATTCTCTAGCACCACGACACTAAGGGAATGATTTCCCAGTAATTAAAGAGCTCTCCTAGGACTGAGACATGAATAGGGACATGTTTGGCACGTTATTAACCAATTATACGCTGCATAGATATTTTAAAAGTGTTAGTGTCGTCCCAGAAACACTTTAAACAAAGGAAGCACTAATGTAGTCAACCTGTCTTCTCTTTATTTTGTATTATTCATAACTTTACACTTTGGCGTCACATTTATAACTTTCTTCCAAGCATGAAAAGTCCTAGAAGTATAAAATCCCATATACACACACACACATATATATCTGTATATATATAAACATAGTTTGAAGTATTAGCATTCAAATAGCCAGCTGAGGATGTGGCTTTTGGAGTTAGCATTTCAAAGAGCAGTGCGTGAAACAGGCAGTGATCTTGTTAGAGCAGTGAATTCCAGAGTGCAAGATCTGCAGATTAGTCACACAGCCTATCATTTCTGTATGTAGTGTTCTCTTTAGACATAAAAGACGAGAAGTGTCGCATCCTAAAACATTAGCTCCATCCTAGTATTTGTCCTGCATTAGCAACTTGCGCCATCGTTTTATCTTCTGGATGTTTTTGATCAGCATGCCAATTATAAAAGACAGTTTTTCATTAGTGTGAATTGTTTAAAATTTCCTCTCTGGGTGACTAGCAGTTGGCTAAACAATATTGTTTGTTATATTCAGAGCCTCATGCGTGACTTGTGTGCCGGCTTGTTTGCTAGGTGATAGCAAATCATGTGGATTGTCTGTTTTGTTTTTATAGACAAGATGTGAAATGGAGAAATATCTGGCACCTCAGCTCCCACCCGTTCCTGTCATCCCTGAACATAAAAAATACAGAAGAGACAGTGCCTCAGTGGTAGACCAGTTTTTCACTGACAGTGAAGGGTTGCCTTACAGTATCAACATGAATGTCTTCCTCCCTGACATTAGTCACCTGAGAACTGGCCTGTACAAATCGCAGCGACCGTGTGTGACCCACATCAAGACAGAACCAGTCACGATCTTCAGCCACCAGAGTGAAACTACTGCCCCTACCCCTGCCCCTACTCAGGCCCTCCCTGAGTTTACCAGCATCTTCAGCTCTCACCAAACTCCTGACGTGAACAACATTTTTATCAAGCAGGAGCTTCCTACTCCAGATGTTCACCTTTCTGTCGCGCCCCAGCAGGGCCAGTTATATCAGCTCTTGAGCTCACCGGATCTAGATATGCCCAACACTACTCCTCAGGCAGCCGTAATGGACTCCCTTAACAGTGTCTCCATGCCCTCCACCATGGCAGGCCTTAACACGCTCTCCTCGGCGCTTCCACAGACTGCAATGAAACAGTTCCAGGGCATCCCCCCATGTACCTACACGATGCCAAACCAGTTTCTTCAACAGCAGGCTACCTACTTCCCACCTTCACCCCCAAGCTCAGAGCCTGGAAGTCCAGACAGACAAGCAGAGATGTTACAGAATTTAACCCCTCCACCCTCATACGCCGCAACCATAGCTTCCAAGCTGGCAATTCACAATCCGAACATACCAGCAACGCTGCCAATAACTACCCCAAACATACAACCGGTCAGATACAACAGAAGAAGTAACCCAGACTTGGAGAAAAGACGTATCCACTACTGTGACTATCCCGGTAAGCAGGTGTTTCAGAAAAGCATGCAGGCCCAGCTCTTGTAATGAAAAAGTGTGAATAAGCATAGACTAGCTGTAAATTGTTCTATTTTCCTGTAGTCTTTCTGGAGATAACAGTTCCTTTTCTGTTAAAATAAGATTTCTTCTCTTCAATGTTAGATTTCTGAGATGTTCTTTCAGATTCTTTACCTATATTGTACTTGATATTGTACATCAAGTTATTTCTCCTTGTCATTTCTCACTTTCTTAAACTGCTAAGCTCATTTTCACCTGTTAAAAAACTTAAACTGTATAGGAGAAAAAAAAAATGCAGCCTTCTCTAATTTAAATCAATGTCCACCTGATTTAAGATCCCCTCACTTTTCTAGTACCAGTGAAGGACCAGCAGCTCAATTTTTACAAAGTGATTCAGCTTAGTTTGGGTCCGTCGACGCTAAAAGAATCATTTCAGTTCCTGGCAGATGAGGTCACAGCCGTATCTACCCCGCTATGAATAGGGAATTCAGCTGCCTAGATAAATCCATTAAAGCTGCCTTTGAAAATTGTCTACGGATAAATTCCCTTAAAGCCTATCTTTTTCTTATACTGAACTGGAAGAGAAATCTGATTCTATCAACTGTTCCTTCAAGTAATATGTGATCCCAGATAAAAGCCGTTAACACTGTTCTGAAACATCTAGAAAGTGCTGCATTTAGCTGATGTCTCCCTTAATAAATATGATTCATGGGTGATATATCATCCAAATGCCTAATGCAAAAGTTATGTACAGTCATGAATAACTACGGTTATGACTTGTGCATTTTTTTTAGGAAATTTTGAAAAATAAAGTCTTGAGTTGTAAGGTGGACAATTTATGTAACAAGTGTTACTGTGTGTGGATTAGCTGTTGGTTTATACTACATTACAAGGTAATTTTTACCATTTTTTTTTCTATGTAAAGCAACATATTTTTCCTAAGTAAGCAACATCTCCCTAAGAGCTTTGTATATTAAATTATACTTTTAAATGATTATGCTGCCAGAAGGTTGCAAACTTAAATATTTCCAGGTAGTACCTCAGCACTGAATGAGGAAGTTTATTCTGGAGCGTTCCTGTTCTCGATACTGATGTGTTTGCCCTCCTTTTTATTTTCTTTTGTTTTAGGCTGCACAAAAGTTTATACAAAGTCTTCTCACTTAAAAGCGCACCTGAGAACTCACACTGGTATGTACCCACTCTCTCAGTGCTCAGAAATAGCTTTTCTAGCTTTTGAAAAAGTGTGTTGTTTGATTTGCTGTCTTCTCCCTGTCTCTTACGGAGTGGTGGGGGCTCAGGCTGGTGGTTCAGTTAAAGCTTTCTGGGTTAGTCCATTAAAAGTAAAATTTACTTTTAAGGCACTTTTGTTAAGGCTTTTACAGTACAAAATTTAAAATGATTAAGAACTGGTGAAATTTTCAATCTTAAAATGCTTTCAAGTTTAAAAAAAAAAAAACAATCTCCCTGCAAATACTGAAATAAACATAGTAAATGTTACGATTTTCAAGATCTATCAAAATAAGTAGAATTTTCTTTTTGGGGCTTTCATATTGACCTGTTAGAATTACTTAATCTTAAATTTTTTCTCCAGTTATTTTGTCCTTAGCATTAATTTTTTTTTTACAGTAAGGTGTTTTGTATTTTAAAAAAATCAATTTCTAGTTGATGAAAGATATTAAAATGGAGGAAAGGAAAATGAACAGTTAGCGCGTTACATTTGTTTTTGTGTCTTGATCAAATTCTGCCTGCAGCCATAGAAACCAGCCCGGTTCACGGGCCTGTATTGGACCTAACTCAGGACAGAGCTTTGCTTATGCATGAATGCAGTGCCCATATCCTCGAAGGCCACCTGTAAGAAGGGGAACCAGTCTGTTCAAAATTGTAGATCTGCTTTGGCAGAAGGAATGAAAACAGAAGGGGATCTGGGAGAAATCCGTAACCCCCCAACACCACACTGTTAAATTGTTAGGATGGTTCTTTGCTGGGATCTTAGCACAAAATCTGTTCCGCTAAATCTTTACAGTAAAAAGAACATGACATTTTTCTTGAGAAGTAATCAAACAAGAAGCCTACTATTCTTGTTTTTAAAATTGAGTTTGAAGTCAAACTCCTTTTATATGTGAGCCTCAGTTCTAAGCAGCGCAAGAGTTGCATTTCAAGCAATTCACTTATTGAAATAGACTGTCAGCACTGTGGTGGTGCTGATCAAGTAGTGGAGTTTTACCTAAGTTTAAACCAGAAGTTAAAACAAATCTTAACATGAGCTATGATTTGCCAAAATGTGTTTCACCATTTCTATGGAAACTCGTGAATGGATGGTTGGATTATTGGAAAGAAATTTGCTGGCTAAGTGTTACTATGGAAATTTTGTTTTGATAAATGAAAGTTATCTCTGTTGCTGCCACAGTAAAAAATAAAAGCAACTGTATGAAGATTATTACTTTACATTAGCAACAGACTGAAAAAAATGCCGCTATAAATATTTTTTGATATATTTAATCATTCATTATCAACCAGCTTAATAGGAATGGAATATTTTCACGAGGCTGTAAACCCGACTGACATCAGAGAATGTAACACTTTAATAAATAATCTGTAAGGTGATGTGAGTGCAATTTCCATTTATTTGTTTTAGTCAGCAATTAAATATCAGTTTAAAATATCTTCCTTGCTATTACGCAATGAGGGTAGGAAGTGAGATGATTAAAAAGAAAAGCTTTCCTCTAAAAATGAACCTTACTTAGTCATTGTTTGAAATCCATGCTGTTACTTTTTTATCAGTTTGTACCTGTTTTCTATCTTGAATAGAAATGTCTATAAGGTTTATAAAATTACTACTTACGTGCACAGAAATATGATTCCCATCACTAATATAGATTGCTTAGGGTCGATAGTGTTTACTGTTTTTACCTATAGATATTTGACCTTAGAAACGTGCTTAATGTGCAGAGGTCAGAGAAGCTGATGTATTCATGGAAACAAGAATGTTGTTTTAGATAAAAATCTAGTGAACTTAAGCAAGTCTGTAATACAAAGGGTCTTCTGGGGAGGTGAATGAAGGGATAAACTGTCTAAAGCTTTAACATGCAAGAATGTGAGTCCATATCCTGTTACCTGCATTATTTCAGAGTTCAGACTAGTTTAACTCTGCTGTATATTCATTTAATACTTGAGGATTCCCAGTGCGCTTTAAAATCTTTGTCTTTACATACAGCTGAAATGTGGCTTAGTACAAATAAGATTGCTCACATACCCACTACTACATAAATCAATTAACTGAGTGTTAACGTGAATGGACACAATCCCAGGGAAACCTGTGAATTTACACTGGGGGGCCTAGTTTCTTCAGAAGTGAACAGGAATTTTACTATTGATCTAAAAAGAGAAGGACTTGATACTGAGGGCTAAATGTGTGTGTTTTTGTCTGTATAAAGTCTGCACTTTGTTCACCCTACTTCCCAGAACTATGAATTCATACAGCACTATTGAGCTTTGATTCCTAAAAAAAAAAAAAAAAAGGAAAGAAATCTTATGAAACCTGCACCTTCAAAGTCTGAAGTGTCACGTAATCCATTTTAATAAAGCTGTGTGTGATATTCTTTCAAATCCCTTCAGGGATTGTAGACCTGTTTATCTGGCTAAACCCGTTCTTTAGTAATCATGGACCACTGAAGTTGTTTTCTCCTTATTCTTAGTTTCTTAACAATACCTTTTAAAATTGGCTCTAGTCTCTCTCTCATCCCAACCAGTCCCCGCCCTTCTCAGCAATCTGTCATCTTAAAATAAAAGAGCCTGCAGCAAAGTTTGTCTGCCATTAAAAGTCAAGGCAGACCTTATGGTTTTCCTTTTGTATTGGAAAATCTCAGCCTTTATACAGTATTTATTTAGCAGTCTTTCTCTTCTGAATGCCTTTGACTGAGTTTAATAGATGTTCTTTGAGAACAAACTTAAGGGAAATGTTGTTTTTGAAAGATGGAATGTAGGCTATAGTCTTTTTCCAAATTCAAATACGAACACCTTGGCAAACTTTATAAGTTACATTTAAAAGAAACAGTAAGAAAAAGACAAGAGGCAAATGCCTTGCATTTGTCTTCTTAGATGTCTTTGAGGTGTTTACCTGACATCAGATCAGACGGTTTGAGCTGGTTTTGTCCTAATGGAATTATGCCTGCTTCACATATTCATGGTTTTACTGTTGATTTAGAATTCAGTACTCACTAAAAAAACACTAAGGCAGGTTACTGTATCTGTGCTAGTCCCTGAAGGAGGAACCCATTTTATTTTCTCAGGAAATTACTTTAGTGTTTTTAAATTATGAAGGAAATTTCAATTGTTAATAAGCTGGTAATCTAAAAATTTAACACAAACTACCAATCTACTGCTGTGAAGGTGCATGCCGTTTTATATCCTTGTCTCTCAGCTCTGGATGAGATACACAGTACATTTGGTAATATGGTAATACCTTTTAAAACACTTACGTATGGTATTTTCACGGGTGATAAGTTATTCCTGAAACAGGTAAAATGATATTCAGTATTCTGAAGTGTCAGAACATCTTTCAAAGTAGATTGAAGTTTTTCTTTTACCTCTTGTTCCAGGGATTTTTTTTTAATAAATTGTTATCTATTAATCACAGAACTAGTTCATTTTTAAAATGTGCACTGTGCAGCTAGTGTATATCATGTGTAGAGTTTTTAGGCATCCATTGCAGGCTACTTGACAGTGAAATTACCTTAAAGCACAGACGTAACTACTTTGTGTACAACTTGATAAACATGTCAAATGTCAGTGAAATACAGTAGATTGTGTGACGTAGATACACACCTTTAGCTTCCTTTTGTGAAATCTGAACATATACTTATAGGTCAAGTAATCGGCTAGAGACAGCAGTCCTGTATCTTCTCCTGTTATACTTCTTCATACGTAAAAGTTTTGGACTGTTAAAGTGGAGTCTTTATATGTAAGCACCTGGAATAGCCTACCTGGAAAATACAGAAGAGTGGTTGGCTCCAGGGTATTTTTTTTTCCTGTGAACAGCTGCACACTTCAGAATTGTGTTTGGTTTTAAGAAGAAAACCTATCATTGTTTAGAACACATCAAGGCACACGCACTGAGAACATTTTCCAGCTGCATATTAGTTTTCCATGTACAGAGTCTTTGTAGAGGCATGTTCTCTGATCACGTGGTCGGTTTGCCATTAATAGTTTCTAACATTAACTGCAGAACTATTTCATCTCTATCTATAGATCTAGTTAGTATTTGGTGATGGGAAGTGGAAGCCGAGATAACTCCAGAGAAATGGCATTTCTCTAAATGAGATGCGCTCAAAATACTTCCACCATCCCTAATTATTTCATATGTTCATGAAGACAGCATGAGGCAGCTGCTAACCCATGCAGCTCCTCAAGGTGTTAACATTTTATTTTAATTTAGATCTCTGTCTCAATAAATCCAGAATTAGACTATGATGGTCGATCAGAATTAGAACCAGTTGTGTGCAATAGATTTTAGCGTACGCACATATATATGTATGCGTGTAGATATATGTATGTTTTATATATATATATATATAACAGGTGGTTCCAAATACACTTGCCTAGGAACTCAGAATTCCTATTATATACCTGTTATGCAGAAGGAAAGAAAAGTGAGAATGGACTCCTACCAAAGAAAAAGCACTTCACAAAAAGAACATACATTAGTTAAGTCATCCCGGAGAATTAAGGATTTTGCTCATGTTGTACTAAGGGGGAACTGAGCCTCCAGAAGATTTCTCCTTGCTCATTTTTGCAGATTTCTGTGCATGTAGCAAACATGATCCTGGAAAATTCTTTGGATCATGAAAATAGCTGTTAAGTAATGTTTCCCTAAAGGTTTGATTTCTTTAACCTGTTAAATGAGTCAGCTCTACAGATTCTGCCTTAAGGAGATGTCAGTAAATGCCATCATTGATACACTAAAATAAGGAAAAATGGAGTAGAGTTAAATAAAATTGTTGTGAAAGTGCATTAAAGTGCAGTGTTGCTAGACTGCTGGAGAATATGCTGGTATCTTTTATTTATGAATTCTGCTAATCCATTAGTCGCCTTTGTGAGAAATGGAAGTACATTATTTTTCGTTGCAAAAGGCTGTTTGAGGGAAAATAATGCATTTTCAAACCCTTCATGAATGATTGCAGACCTTTGGA